GAGTTTCCTGGAGTTAGACAGGTTAGGCTGATCAATGTTGCAGCGTAAGTGTCTGACCACAGTAGCCACTAGTGTAGGCTTTAGTAGTAACTGTGAGGTATTGCTCGATTCAATAGAGCGCTAATTGTATTGGTGTAGCCTTGAGGAGGCTTCGGTTCCATTCTTTCCCCACATCTTGCTTCTAACCTTTAAAGGCCAAGTATGTGCTACTGAGTCCTGGGTCATCCCTAGTGTCAGTACTGTCACTAATAAGTAGTCATCTAGATTTGTCCATGCCAGTTCTCGGTTCCCACTGCGCTCCCGGATGCCCGTGGTCTCGCCCGACGCCACCCCTCCCCTGCTCCCTATCCTTTGTCGCGGGGTGATCATAGTTTATTGTCTAGTGTGGCTCTAGTGTCGTGAATGTAATCCACGGTGCCCACATTTTGGTGTACTTCCCATAGTTCCCTACTTTAGCCTGCGTTATACCTTCTAATTGTTTTGTGTCTTCCACCCTCTGGATCCATTCTCTGTCCTGATACCTGGTATTTATTAATGGACACACTGACTTTGGTATTTAAAAATTGGCAAACTTGGGCGTGGCCTGACTCCGCATGGAAGCAGTCGCATAATCTGAGAGCTCCGCCATTCCGTGGGCTAACACAGAGTGGATACCAGCGATACTCACCCAATACCTTTCCCACAAGCTGGCGAGAGCACAGGGGAGGACATGACTACCAAATCGTCCAAGAAGCTGAAACAGAAAACGCTGCATTCTCACTTAACGATGGGGAATAACGGCAACCAAGATGGCGCCGACGGAGCGCAATATCTCGCATCGGACCACGGAGGTGGAGAAAGCCTGGACCCCCCTGGTATCCCCAACTCTCATCCAGCCACAGATGCCTCGGTGAGTAGCATGCTACAGTCGCTCCAGACCCACCTCAGGTTGGACTTTTCCAAGATGGCGGCGGACGTCCGGGCAGATATTCAGGCCCTGGGGGACAGAACAGTACACTTGGAGGAGGCAATGGAGGGGCTAAGAGAGGCCCATAACGAGCTGGTAGAAGCACACATGGCACTGCAGGGAAAAGTACACTTTCTTGAAAGCAAAATCGCAGATAACGAGGACAGGGATAGAAGGAACAACATACGACTGCGAGGTGTTCCTGAAGCAGTGAGCCCTCAATACCTGGCCACATTCGTTCAGGACATGTTTAAGGCGCTCATTCCGGCACTGGAGACCTCAGATCTGCGTCTAGATCGCACTCACAGATTGCCGAAGCCGAAGCACTTACCCCCAACTACGCCGAGGGATGTAATCACAAGAATACATTATTTTGAGGTCAAAGACCGCCTAATGCAGGCCTCCAGAACCAATCCACCACTGCCAAAGCCGTTCGCTGATGTCAAAATGTTCATTGACCTGTCCGCGGCAACTATGACCAAGAGACGAGCGTTTGCACCTATCACCGTAGCGCTCAGGAATGCAGCTATCCTGTACAAATGGGGATATCCCACAAAGATACTACTAAAACGGAACGGAGTGGACATAGAAATCTTTACTCCACGAGACGGCACAAAACTGCTCAGTGAGTGGAACATCCCAATGGCTCGACTAGACAACGCACGCTCGCCAGCAACTTCACCACCCAGAAAACAACCCAGGGACTACCGACCTATCCCATGGCACGCGGCTGGCTCAATGGCAACTCCAGCACACCACACGAGTCCCAACGATACCGAACAACACTGATTGAACACAGATATGTATCTTACACATGAAACTGTACACTTGGCTCCCCCCTGGTGCATCCTCGTAGCGGTCTTCACTTGCAATGTTTTTCACAGCCGAGAGCCCACACAGGCGGCGAACCACTTTATTGTTTACGTTAATTGATTGGCACTGTTATTCCCTTTACCTATATCTAATTGTACCGTTAAGAAGTGCCACCTGTACGGTGTACCAGCAGGGGAAAGCATACGTATAGCATTGCGCCCGGTTGTTGCCGGCAATTCAGAATAACCCAACCCAAACGAGAAAAATAAATAAATAATAATAATAAAATAGAAAAATCGTAACAGGTACCACTCATCAGCGCCCACAGCGCCCCACGCGGCTTACCTAGTAAGCCACTTCATTACCCGTCGGCAGACCTCTGCGTTTAGCCACCCGGCTAACGGGTTTTGTATATAGTTTTAGTTGTACTGTTGTACATTGATACCCTGCCACACCCCTCCCAACCCTACCCACGATATCGACGAAGTAAGGTGACAAAAAGGGCTGGGTAGTACAGCACAGCCACATACATCCCCACCCACCAAATTATAGCTGGAGTAATGTCGATCACAGTATTTTCTCTTAACACTAAAGGGCTGAACACGCCCCATAAACGACGACTGGAACTTTTAGAAGCCAAAAAACATAGGGCGCAGGTAGCTTTCTTCCAGGAAACCCATTTTAAATGGGGTTCACGGCCCAGATTTAATTCCCCCTGGTTCCCTATTGATCACCACTCCTGCTGCTCCACAAAAAAAAGAGGAGTCTCCATTTTAATAAGCAGAAACGCCACCTTCGAGCTGGTCCGCAAGATCAGTGATAAGGAAGGTAGATATCTCATCATTCAGTGCCACCTTAACAACAACCCCTTTACATTAATGAATATATATGGGCCCAATGATAATCAGGAAGGGTTTCTGCACCGAATGTTTGCCTTGTTGAATATGTACAGCTTTGAGGAGGTAATACTTGGAGGCGACACCAACTTTCTTCTTGATAGCACCAAAGACTCCTCTGCCTCACATACGATAGCACCCAACACCTCTAAGAGACGGCTCGCACAATCACACAACATTTGCGATATCCTAGCAACACATGATTACATAGACCCTTGGAGAATTACACACCCCAATGAAACTGACTACACATGCCATACGGCGGTACACAATAGCTACTCCAGAATAGATAGGTTCCTGGTTAGATCTACTTCCCTCCTAAAGATACTAGACACTACCATCGGGGATATCACATGGTCCGACCACGCACCGATCACGTTAACACTCAAAGACCGATTCCCTCATACTGGCCAGATGTCTTGGAGGTTAAACAACACCTTGTTGACAAACACACATATAGTCCAGCAAGTTACACTGGACCTACAAAACTACTTTGCGGACAATGATAGGCAGAACATTGATCCGGACTATGTCTGGCTAGCCCACAAGGCAGTTATTAAAGGCAGCTTTATGAAGCACGCCAGCCATGCCTGCAAGACGCAAAAGGCACAATACCTAGCCCTTATAAATGAGATCAAACACATCACACACAGAAACAAACACGCACCCTCCCCAGAGCTACAACAGAAGCTTTTGAGCTTACGAACACAACTACGAGATATAAAATTAACCAAAACAACCCACCTCTTACGAAAATCAAAACACAAATTCTTCACGGCAGGGAACAGAGCTGGTGCTAAACTAGCAGCGCAATTGAAACAAAAAACTATCGCCTCCAGGATTGCCTACCTCAAAGATGGAAAAGGTCACAAAATCATCGATCCAAGGGAAATTGTTAATATGTTTGCAGATTACTACCGTCAGCTGTACAACCTACGTGACGATGATGCTAATACGGTCCCGACAGATTCCTACAAAACCTTCGCTTACCCTCCCTGACACCGACCGCAATACAGTCATTACGACAGCCTATTTCCTTAGAGGAGATCACTTCGGTGATTAAAAAATTAACCAATGACAAATCACCTGGACCCGACGGTCTCACCAACGCCTATTACAAATTGTTTGTGAATACTCTTTCCCCACACTTGTTGAAACTGTACAGGCAGAGCAATGACAGAGGAGCCCTACTGGCAGAAGTACTCCTGGCCCATATATCCACCCTCCCCAAGCCAGGGAAACCACCGACACACTGTAAGAATTTCAGACCCATCTCCTTACTAATTGGGACGCTAAAATCTATGCCAAGATACTGAATAACAGAATAGCCCCACTCCTCAGACACTTAGTACACAACGACCAGTCAGGGTTTGTCAGGGGGCGGCAGGGTTCAGACAACACCAGACGAATCCTCAACATACTGACACATATGGAAAGAAATAACACAGGGGGCCTTCTCCTGGCGCTAGATGCAGAGAAGGCCTTCGACCGCCTCAATTGGAAGTACATGTCTGAAGTCTTGGGGAGGTATGGATTCCCACCCGAAATGATTAGGGGGATAGAAGCACTATATAGTGCACCCGCGGCTAAGGTCTCCAACGGAGGTTTCACTTCTGACAAATTCTCCATCACTAACGGGACGCGCCAAGGCTGCCCCCTGCTCTACATCCTATCATTGGAGCCTCTGGCGCTTAAGATTTGTACGAGTTCTGACATAAGAGGAGTTATCGTGACAAGCCAGGAACACAAACTGGAGTTGTTTGCCGATGACGTTTTGGTGTCACTGACTGACCCGGAGAAGTCCTTACCACACCTAATGAACACCCTTACCAACTTTGGCCTAGTTTTCCATTATAAACTTAATCAAGATAAAACCCAAGCACTGACAGTTAACCTACCACTGGAACGCACACAGACACTACAGCGACAACATCAATTTGACTGGAGACTCTCCTCCCTTACATACCTAGGAGTCAAAATCGCAACATCCATAGCCAAAATTGTAAAATTAAACTACCTACCCTTACCTCACATGTGCAGGGCGGAAACCCTAAAATGGAAACACACGCACCTATCCTGGCTAGGAAGGATCAATGCCTTCAAAATGTCTATACTACCCAAAATTCTTTATGTTTTCCGCATGCTCCCTCTCAAAGTATCACAACCTCTGCTCAAGAGCCTACAAAACACCTGCAACACCTTTATATGGGACAATAAAAAGCCCAGGATCCCTAGTAGACTTCTGTACACCCAGGTCAAACAGGGTGGAGTGGGACTACCAAACATTAACCAATATTATAAGGCGACAGCGTTAACAGCTGGCATTATGCTACACTCTCCTAAAGGGGACATCAACTGGGTAGATATGGAGAACGCCCAACTACAAGCACTAAACATAGTTGACGTCCTATGGACGCCTAAACACCTACAGACCCCTAAACTAGACCTATTCCACACAACGTCTCTGACAATTAACGTATGGGACACATTTATGGCCACAATGGGGTGCAAACTCTCCTTCCATACCCGGGCACCACTGACTGCCTTAGGAACCAAATCCCCCGACCTCCCTCTAACAAAATGGGCTAAAGCAGGAATCACCAACGTCCAACACTTATTAGACGATAAGGGTGTAATGGCATTCGCAGATATACAGGCCAAATGGCACCTACCGATGAGTGAAGAATTTACCTACCTAAGACTCAAAGGGACCATACTGACACATGTGCTGTGATATTTAATAATTGGCAAACTTACTGTGATATTTATTAATGGGCACACTGACTGTGGTGTTTAATAATTGGCAAACTTACTGTGATATTTATTAATGGACACACTGGCTGTGGTATTTAATAATTGGCAAACTTACTGTGATATTTATTAATGGGCACACTGACTGTGGTATTTAAAAATTGGCAAACTTACTGTGATATTTATTATTAATGGACACACTGGCTGTGATATTTAATAATTGGCAAACTTACTGTGATATTTATTAATGGGCACACAGGCTGTGGTATTTAATAATTTGCAAACTTACTGGGATATTTATTAATGGGCACACTGGCTGTGGTATTTAATGATTTGCAAACTTACTGTGATATTTATTAATGGGCACACTGACTGATATTTAATAATTGGCAAACTTACTGTGATTTTTATTAATTGGCACAATGATTGTGATATTTAATAATTGGCAAACTTACTGTGATATTTATTAATGGGCACACTGGCTGTGATATTTAATAATTGGCAAACTTACTGTGATATTTATTAATGGACACACTGACTGTGGTATTTAATAATTGGCAAACTTACTGTGATATTTATTAATGGGCACACTGGCTGTGATATTTAAAAATTGTCAAACTTACTGGGATATTTATTCATGGGCACACTAGCTGTGATATTTAAACATTTGCAAACTTACTGTGATATTTATTAATGGGCACACTGACTGTGATATTTAATAATTGGCAAACTTATTGTGATATTTATTAATGGGCACACTGACTGTGGTATTTAATAATTGGAAAACTTACTGTGATATTTATTAATGGCCACACTGACTGTGGTATTTAATATTTGGCAAACTTACTGTGATATTTATTAATGGGCACACTGACTGATATTTAATAATTGGCAAACTTACTGTGATTTTTATTAATTGGCACAATGATTGTGATATTTAATCATTGGCAAACTTACTGTGATATTTATTAATGGGCACACTGGCTGTGATATTTAATAATTGGCAAACTTACTGTGATATTTATTAATGGACACACTGACTGTGGTATTTAATAATTGGCAAACTTACTGTGATATTTATTAATGGGCACACTGACTGGGATATTTAAAAATTGTCAAACTTACTGGGATATTTATTCATGGGCACACTGGCTGTGATATTTAATAATTGGCAAACTTACTGTGATATTTATTAATGGACACACTGACTGTGGTATTTAATAATTGGCAAACTTACGGTGATATTTATTAATGGGCACACTGACTGTGATGGTTGGCAAACTTACTGTGATATTTATTAATGGGCACACTGACTGATATTTAATAATTGGCAAACTTACTGTGATTTTTATTAATTGGCACTCAGGCTGTGATATTTAATAATTGGCAAACTTACTGGGATATTTATTAATGGGCACACAGGCTGTGATAATTAATAACTGGCAATCTTACTGTGATATTTATTAATGGGCACACTGACTGTGATATTTATAAATTAACAAACTTACTGTGATATTTATTAATGGTCAAGTTGGCTGTGATATTTATTATTTGGCAAACTTATTTTGGTAATTAGTGGGAACACACTAACTGTGGTATTTAATAATTGGCAAACACTTTGATATTTACTAATGGGCAAACTTTCTGTGGTATTTATTAATGGGCAAACTAACTGATATTTTTAATGGACACCTGGCTTGGAATATGTTCAATGGACAAACTGACTGTGGTATATTTATAATGGAAAAACTGACAGTGGCATGATCTGTGGGGTAAAGTGACACTGTTCTGTGTATGCACTTTATTGCAAGGTTGTTTTTTTTAATGTATATTGTTGCTTGTGGTGTGACAGAATTCTGTGAAGAGCTTTGGTATACCTTTGGTGAGAAAAGGTTGAGGAGCACTGCTCTACTATATGACATCTGACCCTGATCAGAGCAACGTCTAAACTACCTGTACTCCTTATAAACATTCTGCCTAATTTTCATATTATTTTTGCTCCTCCTCCACTCTAGTCACATTTTCTCCTGTATTGTTTTAGAATATTTACCTGCATCTAATATGTACTAACTAATGCAATCTGTAGTCACTGAATTAATGGACAATCCATCCTTTGATTGCAATAGCTGTCTAAATAGTGTTACTTGTCATTTAACTTTTACCTAATTTTACCAGTAGTCTGTGCAAAAGTCTGCATTTAGTTATATATTTAGATATTACCATGTACTCACTGTAATTTTGTTTCCAAATTCTAACTCTATGCAAGTTACCCATAATGAAGCTCATAGCTTTCATTTAAAAATGATTTATCTTTGTTTAAACAGATCCACAATTCTCCTTTGCGTAACCGCTTTTCCTAGAACTCCTAAAACATGGCATGATGCAAAGTCATTAATTGTACCTGTTGTTACATTTAAAGCATATAATACACAGGTGTTCTTTAGTAGTTTTTTTTTTTTTTAAATGAGAGAAGTCTCCATATATTCTTTTTGATAAAAAAACAAAAACTTAATAAATAACATTTAGAAGATTTATAATTTAAAAAAATCTATATTTTTTTAACAGAATATTTTTATATACTAACTCTAAGCACCAAAGCCACTTTATCTCAAGTAGTTTTGGTGAATAGATCATGTTCCTGCAGTTTTAGTACTCAATCATCTGCTGTTCAGTAGTTTAACTACTTTATTTCTGAATTTGGTCTCTGTGGCGGAAACGCTGCCTGTTAGTGACTTGCTGTATGTATGGAATTTTCCCTTATTTTGTGTGTATTCTTTTGGTTTACCTACTCCCCATTCGGGAGTCCCCAAACGATGAGTTCTATTCGCCTCCTGAACAGGGACCACCTTGATACCCCATTTAGAATGTTTGTTTGGAATGTTCACATCTCATTAGAATGTTCACAACTAGTCAAAGAGGTGTGAAAACCACAAACCACAAGGAAAGCCTCGGCGCGTGGTGGCCCGTTCATTAAATGAACGCCATTCGAGGGAGCATTCGCGCATTGCTTGCCACCTTGTTCGGCTCTCGAACGAGGACTTCCCCAGTGCCCTTGGAGTGTTCACACCAATCAATAAGAATGTTAGTAAATTGCAACATAAGTGTGAAACCGCAAGGGAAGTAATTAATGAGCCCTTCCCTGGGTAGCCGCCGTTCGTACAGATGAACGCCAGCCAGGGGGAGCATTCATGCCCCGAAAAGGGACACTTCCCTTCCTGATTTCACCCAGGGATCCCACGAACGGAGACAGTTGCCATTCTGGGAGTCCCTGAGATTGCTGGGGACATTCTGTGGGGACGATGGCAGTTTGACAGGCTTTCTGTGCCTGGGCACCCAGAAGGCGGGAGTTTTGTTGAATGTGGCCAATAAAGTTGTTGTTGCACCCGTGGAACTGTGTGTCGTCCGGTTACTGGGGAAAATGGGTGTCTTACTTCATTAATAGCGGGGGTAACCAGCCGGGTTACCGAGTGCCCACTGCAACTGGTGGCAAGCAGCGCGATCCTACATCCCAGCCAAACAGGACTATACTTCCCTAAAATTACCAACATTACAAGATATGTGTGAAGCCAGAGGGATAACCCCTGGACATCGTAACAAGACAAAATTGACAGCTGCCCTCAAGGAAGATGACCACGCATGCAATGAGACAGCTACCCTCCAGCCAGAGGCCAGAGAAGAAGATGAACACGCGAAGGTGGCCCAGCACCTGGCATATTACATAGAGCCACGCTTTGAGGAATCCATGAATAGGATTTTCTCTGAGGCACAAGCCTATGTCCTTGCATGGAAGAAGAGGCGAACCCCCACAATCAGACAAACAAAGTCCAAGGGAGAGGTCCCCAGAAGGCCTTGCCCGAAAGCCCAAGTTGCCCTTTGCCACCTTTCAAGAATTCAAGGAGGCAGAAGAAGGCATCAACAACTTCCTGCAGGATTTCGAGCGACAGTGCTTATTGCAGGAAGTTGCCCCCACAGACCGGGTCACTATCTTGGCCAGGACCCTAACAGGGAGGGGGACAGAGGCCTACCGTGATGTACCAGCAGACCAGATCCAGAAGTACGAGTCTGTCAAAGAAGTCCTCTTAGCCCGGCATGCTGCAACCCCAGAGGAATACAGCAAGAAGTTCAGAAGGACCAAGAAAGGTGACAAGGACTCCCATGCGGAGTGGGCATGCCGCATCCTCCAAGCCACGCAGAGCTGGATGGCCTCGCAACAAGCCAAAGAGAAGAGATTCTCCAAGTGTTCATGCTCGAACAATTTTACAATGGGCTACCTACCGAGGTGCAGGAATGGGTGAGAGTATGTGGATACTCGCTGGTCCCAATGCACTGCTCCCTCTTCCAGCTACCGACCCCCCATCTACCCCTCTACCGCAGCTCCCCTTTGGGGCTTCCTAGTTTGGTCATCCCCTCAGCAATAATTCCCCGGGACAAAATGGCAATGTTTCCAGTGCCTTCAGCCTGGCCACATCAAAATGAACTGTTCCCAAAACCGGGGCAAGCCCCAGTGGGTCACCCCCGTAGTCCCTACTGGCCTGTGAGCAGCAGCTCTCTGCAACCACAATGAGCCCACAGAGTTTCAGAGCCCCGACGAAAATCCCTGGACCATCCTGCATGAGGCAAGCCAAGTCTAAGCCGCCCATGATATCGGGACCACCACAGACAGGCAGTGCGGCTGAACGGCGCAAGGTCCAGGGACTCCAAGACACCGAAGACTCTCTAACCCTGGTGCGACCCCAGCTTATCCACAAAGAAGAATAGATAGGGGATACTGCCACCGTCCAAGTGGCCAGAGGGAAAATACACTACCTACCCACGGCCCATGTGCACCTAGATTTGAGTGCTGGAGCCCAGAGAGTAGAAGTGGGCCTCATGGATCGACTACCTGCAGAGGTGCTGCTCGGCAATGACCTGGGACTCATCGCCTCCACCTTTGTCTCCGTCCAGACCCTGGAAGAAGCCTACTCCATGATGACCCAGCAGCAA